ATATATATATACCTGTAGGGAATGTTTAATTCTGCCTTAGAAGTGGCCAAATTTGAAGGTGCTGTGATCCGCACTGTCAGTGGAATAAGGGGACAGATCAAGAAAGCTCTCCGAGCTCCCGAAGGCGCTTTCCGGGCCACCTTTGAGGACAAGTTGCTGATGAGTGGTAAATACCTTTCTATTGATTTCCGTCTAGTGTGGGTTAGAAGTTGCAGTTCAGGTCTTTAGAAAGCTGGGGTCAGCTCCAGCTCTTCCGGTTGGAGCATCATTGCAGTGTGCCAGGTCACGCTGTATCTGGGGCCATGTGGTTCACACCCAGTAAAAGTTTTGTGATATTCAAGAGTACATAGTTCACTTGGTAAAATCTGTCTTCAAATTCTGTGCAACCAGCTTGAGAAGTTTGGGGTGAATGTTTTGTTCTTTGTTTGACATATGGATATGAACCTTCTTCTGAAAATGTTAAAGTAAATTTCCTCTCTTTCCAGATATTGTCTTCATGAGAACTTGGTATCCTGTCTCCATTCCAGCCTTCTATAACCCAGTAACATCTTTGTTGAAACCAGTTGGTGAGAAAGATACCTGGTCAGGAATGCGGACAACTGGTCAACTCCGGCTCGCTAATCGTGTCAAACTGAAGCCCAACAAGGATTCTCTGTATAAGGTACAGTCACGCATGTGCTCTCTAGATGCGTCGTCCAGATGCTTTGTATGTAACATTTCCTGTGCTTTGAATTTTCAAGTAGAGAGTCTAACATTAAATTTGAATGAACATGTTGTATGTTTATAGACTATTTTAGAAGAAACATTGCAGAGCAGTAATAATTGTTTCTGTGATTTTGAAAATAGACTTAAACTTTTCATTGTATATTTTGGACTGTTTTTTTCCACCACGTACACTTACTACTTTTAAAAATAATATGCTAATTCTTATTGAAGCAATGTGGGTTTAGGGGAAAGTTTTTATTGAAATGTTAACATACATACAAAAAAGTATACAAATCAGAAGTGTATACC